GGAAACGCAATCTAACACTCCTGTCCCACCCTCTGCCCTCCTTCTCTGAGAAGCCAAATGGCTGGCAATTGACTCCTGACCTTTAGCCCAGTCCCGGCCCCAAAGGGAGCCGCTGTTGGTAGTTGGCTGTGACTGGAGGAGGCACTAGAGAAATGTCCACACATGAAGTAAAAAAATTTCGGGCCCACACCCATCCTGCCCCACCCGCCTCCAGTCAGCTGCCCCACAGACCAGGCACTGCACCCAGACACCTCTGCAGGAGCTCCTGTGGGGCGCCATTCCCGATGGCCCCTCTGGGAGCCCACAGCTGGAACCCTAGCCTTAACAGAACCCCACATGCCTACCCCACACAGAGGTTCCTATTTTCTCATTTAACAGTAAATACTCTGCGGGGTGCTGAGCTGTCTGGGCTGCATACTCCAGGAGTATGCAGTTCCTGCGACTCAGTGTTGCAGCTTGGTGACAGGGGAACAGGTGGAACTCAGCCCTGTCACCCCTTAACTGGGTAGCCTCAACAACTACACAGGGGCCACCGTCCCGGACTAGTTCCTACATGAGGGGTCACTACTCCTACATGAGGGGTCACTGGGAGCTGATGGGATTACTTGGGGTCTTGAAAGGAACCTTTAAATCTTTCCCTCAGTCTTACTAGCCTGGGGTGGAGGAGGGGTAGGCAGTCCCCTGGGGCTTTCCCCCAGAGAGGCCAGGGGCTCTGGGAAAGTGAGTGGTGGGATGACTGAGCAGCCAGAGAAGAAAGATGGAAAAATCAATGAAATGAGTTTCTAACGGTGAGGTAAAGGACCGCCGTGTCGACAGCCTGTCGCCTGCTGCAAAATATGAGCTGCCCAAGTCCATGGCGGCTGACAGTGCATCCAGCCACTATCATCCTTCCAGGCCCCCACTCACAGGCCCCTTCCTCAGCTGCCCTGGCCTTTCTTTACTATAGCCAGGCTCTCCCTAGGGCTCCTAGGGCACCTGAGAGCCAGGTCCTGTCCCCCCTCCTACTTTTTGGCCCTCGTGGCCAAATGCTGACTTCCTTGTAATTGCCTGGATTGGCACAATCCAGGTGTTTAGGATGGGCCTGGTATTGATTTATGATACTATGTTTTAATCTCTGTGTGTGTGTGTGTGTGTGTGTGTGTGTGTGTGTGTGTGACTTGGGATAGGGTGGGGTAGGGATGCTATTTCCAATTCAAATCTGCCGACTCTGCCTTTGGAAACAACTCACAACCTTTTTTGGAAACCACCTCCTTTTCCACCCTCCTCCGCATCTTCCTTTTGGGCTCCTAAGACTGTTCATTCATGATTCCCTCCCATTATCTGTACAAAGACTTCCAGGTCAGCCCCCAGAATGTGCCAAGTGTGCCCCTAACCCAGACTCTCAGCCTCACATCTCACTGTTGCTCAGTTAACTCCCGTTCAGTTCTTTCCTCCAGTTTTTGATTCCCCACTTGAATGGTAGGGTGAGGAAGACAGGCAACTCTTCCTTAGCTCCCTCCGAACACTCCAGCATTTGCTCAGGAGACATTTATTAAGCATCTTCTGTGTGACACGTACCATGTGCGATACGCTGGAAAACAATCGGAAACTAGACAGATACACCTGCTCATCTGGCCATCCTGATGGTCTCTAGTCCTTTTTTTTTTCCTTCCCCGAGGGCCAAATCCCACAGTGCCCTCTGGTATTCAGATTCTTCTCCTTTTCTCTAAGCCGGCATCAGTTTACACTCCTACATAGCTCTGATCCCTTCTCTTCTGCATTTCCAGCTTCATTCGCCATTCCTAAACCCAAAGTGAGGCTCAGCTTACATTTTCAGTAACTCTTCACCCTGCTCACAAAGCCGACTCCTTTCACATTCTGTAACTGCCAATTCCAGTCCTCTTCCTTCTTTGCCTGCCTCTCAGTCCTACCATCCTGTTCTCCATGTCCCATCTCCCAAGGTCCCTTCCGGCATCTGCAAGCTCTAGTGAAACACAGGCATTCACAAACAAGACTTCATTCTGAGCTAAGAATGGCTCCAGGCAGGGCAAGATCAAGCCAGCAGATCCAGGACTCCTACAGATTTGATCCAGGCCCTGGCCCCATCCATGTACACTCCCCAGCAGCGCGCAGCAAGTTGTTCCTCTATGGGCCTCAAGGTAATACCAGCTGCTCTGACATCATGGAGGGAGGAACCCTGTCAGGTTGCCAAGGCAACACCAGCAATTTATGACATCAGAGGCTTGAGGTCTTCAGCTCTCTGGGGGCTAGAAATATTCAAGTTCCTGTCAGCTAAAGTAAATGGGAATTCTACTTTTTCATCTCTTCACTCGTGTTCCCTGGTTGGGAATGAAATGCCAAGGCCTTGGGTGGGGAAGAGAGTGATCTGGCCAATAGAACGAATGCATGAGATTCTCTGTCCCCTCTCTCTGCCAGATATATCTCTGCGCTCTCTTCCTCTCCTTTGGCATAGCTCTTTTGGGGCTTTGCCCAGTGGTATTTCTGCTGTGCCTTTTTTTTCCAAATCGCCCCTCCTGCAGCGCTCTCTTTGCATCCGTCATGCTGTGTCCTTCTCACACCAGAGGCATTTGTTTCCTTTGATACCTCATCCTCTCCTCTTTTCCCCTACCAAGCTCTGTGCTGCTCTGATCTGCTTCAGCACTCCTCCGTTTGCCTTCCACGTACCTTCTTTGTACCATATTCTTTTTCTGCCTCACCTTATTCTTCAGTCCCTCCCTTCCCCCACTTTACCATTGTATTCAATTCATATTGCTTTTTCTGATGACCTCCTCTTTTAGGAATATGCTTTCCTTTCTCTCCCTCTTTTCTTAGATATCCCTATTAACTCATGTTTTATTTAATTCTCCCAATTTTTCAGTAATCACCCCTCAGTTCTTCCCTGCCCCCCATTCTGCATGGACTTTCCCTTCCTTTTGCATGTTCCTCACGTCATGCATTTCTCTACCCCATATATTTATTGCACCCCGCACACCCTTCCTCTTTGTAACTCTGTAAATCCCCCATATTGTGTCCACCTCCTTTTACCCCTCCAGGCTCCATGGGAAAGCCATGGCTAAAAACAACATAAACTCTCCTGACTCCATGCACCTTTACCCTCCTTTAGGCTGAATAAACCTGGCCCGGAGCAGAAAATAGCTTCTATAACATTAGTGAAAACTGCCTTGTGAAGAATCCTGCTGAATCCAAATATGAAAACTGGAGCCCAGGAAGAAGAGGAACTAGAAAGTGAAGAAAAAGACTGATATCTAGAATGAACAGAAGGATGAGAGGCAGGCAAACAGGGTGGAGCTCAGAGTCCTCGCAAATGTCCCCTTACAAAATCAAAGTTGACAGTTAACAGACATAATGGCCCTGACTGATGAAGGGGTTATATGCCCCTGGAAGCCCATTAAATTGATTTCTTGGCCTGTTTATGTGCTTTCACAAGCCATATTCCTCCACCTATCCCAGCTCCTTGCTAGTAGGGTTAAAAATCCTGGCGAGAGGATCAGGGATAAAAGGAACTTAGGGTGACCAAGGAAAAAAAAAAGTAGGAAGAGGGCGGATTATAGGTATAAAAGTGGAGGATAGGTAGGGGAGGTCAGGGGAAACAGAGATGGGGAAAAGGGAGAGAAACAATATGGGAAAACAACAAAATACTACAGTAAAGTGAGGCAAGGGAGGCAAATCGAGTCAGCAAGGAAGAGATTGTGATTAGGAAGCTCCTGGAAAGGCAGATGACACACAGGAGATGAGAGGTGAGGTCCCTATGGGAGAGCAGCACATGGCAAAGGGGACAGTCAACAATGCCAGAAAGTTCCAAAGCTTCCCTGCGAAGGTGTAAGAAACTGCCTTGGTCCTTCTAACAGGGTACTAGAGTCCTTGGGGGAGACACATGGGCTCCATACCCCCTCTTCCATATCTCTGATCATTGACCACCTCAATCATCACTGATAAGGAAACTCCAAAGTAGCCTGAGGAGGCCAGAATTATCCACAGGAACCCTGAAGGAGAGGTTATGGAGTCCTAGACAAGTAGAGCAGTCTGGCAGCTAAGGTGTGACACATAGTGACAGGGACACACACGGAGAGGATCACTAGGGTAGGAAGAGTCACATGCAGAGACAGTGACACACAGACCCAGAGATAGAAGGGCGGAGAGAATGAATGGGGTGAAGAATGGCAAAATCAAGAGGCAGGGACACATGGAAAAGAGATCAGTTGGGCTACTGCACAGCGGGACGCGTGGTTGAGTGCTCAGATATGACGGGGCCACTCAGAGAAAGGGGCAGACAAGAGCGGATGGAGAGTTGGGGGGCCAAGAGAGACACATTTCACCTTGAATGAAGCAGTGGCCTCCCCTCACCTATTCGTACCTTTTCAAAAAAAAAAAAAAAAGGCAAAAAGCTCAACTTCAAGCAAAAAACGAAGATCGAAGATTAAGGGTTTCCACTTTCCTTCCCACCCCCATCCCATCCCCAGAGCGCTAGCCCATCCATCAGCCCGCCCGCCTGCCGCGGCTTCTCCCCCATCCCGCTGCAGGCTGGGGGCCGCCGAGACCCAGGCCGGTCGGGCTGACAGCTCCGAGCCCTCTCACTCACCCGGCCTCCCCTTCCCTCCGGGACCCCCGCACCCTGCACAGCTCGGCGCGATCCGTCTAGGCTCTGGTTACCCTCCGTCAAGTCCTCTGGCTTCTCAGTCCAGCCTCGATGCCTTTCCTTTCCCCGTCTCTCCCTCCACCCCTGCATCTCTCTCCCCCCACATCCCCGCTCGCACGCCCTCCCCCTCCCACACCCCTGCCCCTCCTTCTCAACAGGCTCCCGGTCTGTCCACGCGTCCGTCCGTCCGTGTCCCCTCCCCCAGCCCCTTCCAGTCCCTCTCCGTGCCCTCCAGCGGCAGTCTCCGAGAGCCTCCTCTCCCCTCCATCTCAAGCTTCCAAAGAGCAAGGAAGGGAAGAAGAGAGAGAGGGAGAGGAGAAAAAAAAAAAACCAACCCAGCAGCATCGGAAATCGATGCACTTACACCTCAGCTGGAAGCAGGGACGGGAGTCGAACCGCGGCCGCCGAGCAGCGCGAGGCGGGGAGGGGAGGGGGCGGCTCTTGGAAGGGACTTCTTCGATGTGTTGATTCCTTTTTTTTCCCCTCCTCCTCCCTCCCTCCAGCGCTCACTCCGGGGCGTCGGGGACGGAGATGGAAAAAATAAATAAATAAATTCACGGCGGTGAGGGAAGTGAAGGAAAATAATCAATGCTATTTGGCTGCGGCTGAAGTGTTTTCCCGGCTTCATGAGGGGGTTTCCATTGATTCACCATGGGCACTCGCTCGCTCCCTGCCTCCTCCTCCTCCTCCTAATCCTCCTCCTCCTCCTCCTCCTCCTC